ACGCGGCGCCCACATCTCCCGCAGGACCAGGCGCACGCCAAGGATCAGGCGCACGTTGCACGGCAGGACCAGGCACGCGTCCACGAGTTGGGATCGCAGCCGCAAGCGCTCGCACTCGCAGCAACCGCGCGTCGAGGGCAAGGAACTTGATCGCGTCGTCGCTGCGAGAGCCCAAGAAGAGGCGAAGGTCCGCTGCAGGCGTATTTTACATAGCCCACCTCCAGCAGCCCCCCTGCCAGTTGCAAGTCGCCACGGACCCGCCCGGCCCCTGGGCTCGCCAATTGCGCCGGACCGACCGCCCGCAGTCAAAAGCGGTCGGCCACGAGCGAATCGCAGCACATCGAAGACTGCACAGAGCACTCGCGAAGCAGAAGCTGGGTCTCCGGCCCAGCTATGACATAGACGATGTCGTCGAGCGAGCAGCCCCAGCCTTGGACCTCTCAGCCTCCAGCGAGTGAACGAACCACGTTGCGCATCGTCTTGGCGCGGGAGTCCGCATCGCCCATATTCGCCTTGCCCGGCATCGCCACTCGCCCCACGTTGGCCAGCGCAGCATGAGGCAATGCACAATCCGCCGCAGATAGAACAAATGATTCCGCGGCAGACCGAAGGGCAGACTAAACAAAAACCACCGGCAAAGATCTGCTCCAGAAGCGAACCTATCCCTCCGCAGCCGTGCGCACATGCGCTTCGCCACTCGCCGGCTCCTGATCGGACCCAGATGCCTCGCGCCCTCCACTGCTTCTCCCGCCAGTCCGAAATCTCGGGCGCGCAAAAATAGTCGCCGAAACGAACGCGACCCTCACCCCGATGATAAGCAGGGCTCGCGCGCCAAAACTCTGCGCCAAGCCAAATTCATCTAACTCGCGATCTACGCGAGCGTCGCGGCCCGAGATCTGACAAATGAAACTCTCGAAGGCGAGATGCGTTTGCGCAAGCGCGACCTTGCAAGGGCCATCAGCATACTTCTGCCAACTCAAATTCGTTGCGAGCGCCCCCCCAAACTGCGCCGCCGAAGAAGACGCCATCGGGCCAGCACGCAGCACGTCGCGCCCCCATTGGACCATTGGGCGAGAAGTAATAACCACGAGAGCGCTTGCCACGAACGGGTCGCCCATGACCCACGAGATCCCCCTGCGTCGTCCTCGCGAGCAGTCCGCCGCGTTGACAAGGAAGGTTCACCGCGCCGGGCTGGCGCCGTTGCCTGCGGAGCTCGACGCCACCTTCGGCAGCGCGCGCGGAGGTCGATCGGGGCGCCCATGGAAACCCACGCGGCAGAAGCGAATGCGTTCGCCGTGTCTCCCAGCGACGCCCCCCACGCGCGCCCCGGGGATCGGGGGCCGGCGGGGACCACTGATGCGATCACGATGGGCCCCCCCTGCGCCGCCCTTCGGATGAAGCCGCGGCCCTGGAGGGCGGCCTAGACTCGTAGCCGTCGCGCGAAGCAGCTCTCGCCGATCGCTGGCAACGCGCGCGCCGCGAGAACTCCGCGCGGCCCATGCACTTGCTTTTTGAAAAAATAACAAAACAAAACAAAAATGCCCATGCGCTCCGACGCCAGCACAGCGGCGCCGCGCATTTTAGCTGTGCCCGCCGCGAGGATGCCACAGAAACAAGGGCGCGCGGTGCCTCCGTCCCCCACCAGACCAGCTTTCACCGCGCATCGCTGGTTGGGGCCAATCATCATCATGCGCCATCGGTCCAAGGGTGCTGCGCCGCTCGGCTCTCGGCGCCTTCTTTGGCGCGCGGCACCTGCAACGCCGCGTAAGTTTGGAAACTCCTCGGCGAGCTCGGGCGCGCCAGGGGCGGCCGCGCCCATTCCGAAAGAAATGCCGCCACGAGCGTCACGCCAGGGTAGCCGATCTAGTTCCTGAACAGCCACGCCGCCCTTGGAGATCCCTCACCCCGCCACTATGCTAGCAGTTGCTTTCTTGTTCATAGGCGTGGCCCCACGCGTCGGTTGCGACGACGTCTGGGTCCGAGTCGGGCTCCCGACGCCAGTCCGCATGCTCGCATGGTTTCTGCCGCGTGGTCGCGCTGTCGGGCGCCCTTCCCTTCTACCAGCGGGCGCCCCCGTCGCCGCCGCGCCCCCGCGCGCCGCTCCCCCCTTCAGGTCTGTGGAGAGGCTGCGAAGCTTGCCGTCCATGTCCGCGACTCGCTGATCTTCGGCGCGCGTTCGTCGGGGGGCCATCGGGGTCGTCGCGCCGAGCCGGCCCGGAGTATTCCTGCGCCGCCCTCGCCGCGCATGCTTCCAAGGGCTCCGATATGTCGCCAGGCGGGGCCCGCGGGCGACCAAGAAAAAGCGATGGGCGGGCGGTCGAAGCGCCCTTTTCTGTGCTGCAGCGAGAGCATGTCCATCATTTCCAGCGCGCGGCGTTTTCACAAGAGCCGCGAAATCCTACAGGGCAATGTCTTATACATGGGACTTTTGAAAAAATATGTTTTTTATATATGATTACTTTATGAATAAGTGTATGCATGCACTCATCTTTGTTTTTAATACTAAATCCATGCATTCTTAATACATGATCCGCACGCGGAGCATGTATTAAAAACGGCACTGTAGCACGTCGCTCGCAGCGGCGCCGGCTGCGGAAAGCCCCCTTCCCACCGGCGCCTCAGTTCCAAGCGGATGGGAACATGATCTCGCGAAGGTGGTCCCACCATAGCTTCAAGTCGTACTCCAGTCGAGGCAAAGGTCGGCAGGTCACGGCATCACTCTGGCGCCCAAGCGGGTATGCAGTGCATCCGATCCGCTTGCCCAAAAAATTAGCCTGGCGAAAGACCCAACCATGCATTTGTGATAACCGCAACTGTAAAGTTCGTTTTCGGCGCAGCTCCCTGTGGGGCCACAAAATGTGTGAGTGGTGTGCCGATGAAGACTGGGGAGACGCATGCGGGCCCTGCCACTGGGGCCTTAGCTGGAGCTCCCCTTGGGGCCACGAAACGTGTAAAGGGGGTGGCAAAATAGGTGGTGGAAGGCATGCGGGCTGCGCCACTGGGGCCTTCGGTGGACCTCTCTATGGGGCCACGAAGCGAAACGGGGGTGACGCCCACATGCGATCGGTGCCACTGGGACATTAGCTGGAGCTGCCTATGGAGTCACAAAGCATGCGAGTGGTGTGCCGAAAAAGGGGGCAACGCCCACATACGAACGGTGCCACTCGGGCCTTAGCTGAGACCTGTGGGTCCACGAATTATGTGAGGGGTGTGCCGAAACGAGGGTGACGCCCAAATGCGAACGGCGCCATTGAAGACAGAACTTAACAGAACTCATGATGGGCCTGTTTTCCACCATCACCACCATAAGTTGGAGGGGGAGGGGGTCCTCCTCATCCTCCACCTCCTCCACCTCCTCCTCCTCCTCTCCGTCCTCCTCCTCCTCGTCATCCTCCTTCCCCCCTCCAACTTGTGGTGGTGATGGAAAACAGGCCCAGTAACTCATACCATGAGGAGCTTCACGCACGTCACGCACGCCTCGCTGCTTGCCCGCGTCGAAGGCTGAGGAGGACAATGTATGCGGATCGGGGCGGTATCCCACGGGCCGCGCTTCATCCTCACGGCAATGGCTGCTCGATCTATCTTCTCTGGACTTGGCCAAGTCCTCTGGACTTCAGCTGGTGCAACCCCATCCGGAAGGACCACCGCACAGCCGCAGCTCGGGTTTCGCTGACTGCGGGGCACTCCAGAACAAGGCGGCCCGATGCTTACGCCCTGAGAAGCGAGCTCGCACCTGTAGGCCTGCCAAGAACACTAAGGCCTGGCCGCGGAACCCTTCCATCAGTTCCACCAAACGGGAAGCAGTGGCGTGCTCCAGGTCATACAGTAGGGGCCCGACCACAAGAAACCTCCCACAAGAAACCCAACCCTGAGACCCCAGGACGTCCATCGATTGACTGTTGTGGGAACGTCACTCATTCCACAGCAACACCATCGAAACCCAAGAGACCCAGGGCACCCTGGAGGCAAGCAGGGTGCTTCTTGGCAGGGGCCTCCACTGTATCTCAACACCCTCAGGGGCATCCCGTGGCGCAGCACGTGCTTGCTGGGCGCGGGCTCGTCGGGCCGGCCGCGGCCCTCTCACACAAAGAGAATGGGTGGGTGGCTGTGTGTGTGTCTCACCCATGGGAGATTTTCTGCATTCGTGCCAGAAGGAGGAAGATGACGATGATACCAACGATAGTGACGATGATGACGACGATTGTGATGACGATGGTGATAGCCGATCCCCCTGAAGCGACACATCTGTCTGTATCCGCCGCCAATGCAACCATGCCACGCTACGCCCGTATGCCCAGCCAGCGGCCCGGCCCACCGCCGGTGATGATGATGGTGATGGTGATGGTGACGGTGATGGTGATGATGGTGATAATGGTGATGATGATTACGATGGTGACGATGAGCATATCGACATGGCCCCACTCGGCCACGACCCAAACCCACCGCAGCGCGCACGCGGCGGGCTGGCACTGACAGAAACGCTTGGCAGGCGCACCGAAAGGCGGCGGAGCGGTCGACAGCCACCGCCGCGGCTCCACGGAAACGGCCACCATACAGTAGCCAACATCTGCACCAGAAAACGAACCATCAAAACTGTGCACAGAAAAGCTTGCGAACAAATCATACCAAAGCATTGAAAAAGGAGTCCCCCGTGAGGCTGCTGATGCCTTCGTGTGGACACCTTGATGAACTGGCACAGCCATCGAATCGGAAAGAGTATCGATCATATGTTCTGTTCTGCGCTCCGACAGCAAACTGGGTCACACAAGGGCAAACCAACTGCGAAGACGCAAAGCCGCGGAGCAAACAGCGGCGGCCCCACCACTACGAGGCGCTACCAGCTCTCCACCGCACCGACTGCTGCAGAGGTCCATGGACCCAGAGCTTGGGACACACACGGAGGCGTGTCCAACGTGCAGCCGGCCCAAAACTCCCTGCTGAGATGTGGGGTTGTTCGGTGCCCCCGCGGAAACCCCGGCTCCCTCCTCCGAGTTGCGTCAAAGGCAATCTGACGACGACGAAGACGACGACGATGACGACGACGACGACGACGACGACGACGACGACGACGACGGCGGCGGCGGCGGCGGCGGCGGCGGCGGCGGCGGCAGTGGCGGCGAAGGCGACGGCGGCGGAAGCGACAAAAACGGTGGCGGCGGCAACAGAAACGGCGGCGGCAGCGGCGGAGGCGACGACGACGACGACGACGACGACGACGCCGCCGCCGACGACTACGGCGCTGACGACGACGACGACGACGACGACGACGACGACGACGACGACGACGACGACGACGACGACGACGACGACGACGGCGGCGGCGGCGGCGGCGGCGGCGGCGAGGCGGCGAAGGCGGCGAAGGTGGCGGCGAAGGCGGCGGCAAAGGCGAAGGCAAAAACGAAGGCAAAGGCGAGGTCGGTGGCGGTGACGGCGACGGCGAGCGCGAAGGCGGCAACCAAGGCGCGCTCGGCCCCACCCACGGGGCTCGCTCCCGTGTCGCGCGGCCGCGTGCGCCTGGCGCGGCGGCGGCGGCGGGCCCACGGCCTGGCGGGGGCCGCTCTTGGGCTGGCTCGCGCAAGGGGGCGGCGGGAGGGGGGAGGGTTTCTTAGGAGGAGGCTGCTTCGTAGAAGGCGCTGCCCTTCCATCTATGCGTAAAGGCAGCGCCTTCTAAGAAATAGATACGGGCCGCGCCTTCTAAGAAGCAGGGGTGCCTCTGAGAAGCCCTCCTCCCCTCCCCCCACCCCCCTCTGCGCGTGGCGAAGCTCGTTGGGGGGCAGGAGGGGCGCGAGGGCGCCTGGAGCGGCACGCCCGACGTGGCAAGGGACAACACGTGGGACGCAGAAGGGTCGTGCTGGCACTGTGCTCCCCCCTTTTGGGAGGCGCACGTCGGGACCGACCACACGGCAGCAGCACCTTTTGCAGCACCACCGCTGACCGGGCCGCGCGGCCAGGAGGCGCCCACGAACCGGGCACGTGCTATCGTAAGGAGGGCCTGAACGCATGTGCGCGCCGCCCCCGGAGGGCCGACGCACACATGGCACAGGGCAGTTTTTAACACATGGGATGTTTAAACACATGGGATTTTAATACATGGTCAATGTATAAACAGATGCATGCATGAACTCATCGCTGTTTTAATACTAAACCTCTGCATTCTTAATACATGATCCGCACGCGGAGCAGGTATAAAAAAACGGCACTGTAGAAGTATGGTGGGGAGGGCCGAACGGGGGGAGCGGTGCCCGACTGGGAAGGGCTCCGAGTGCACACCAAGCCTCTTGCTGCTCCCATCGCGCGCGAGGGCCACATTCCGGGAACACGTTCGAGCACGCAGGAAAAGTATCGAGACAGTGCCTGCCCGACACGGCGCCAAAGTGTCGAAAGAATATCGCCTCCCAGGGCCCGTAAAAGCCCTCCAATGTCTGCACCCTGGTGATGCTCGAAGTTACTTATGGTGATCGAGGCTGCAGTAGGATGAAGCATCCTAAACCAAGCCGTATTGTCGGCCAAGGTGCTCCGTGCTGTGTGTATAGACGCCCCAGCTTACCGGCCTGTTGGATGCTGGAACGTCTACGCACCGAATTCCTTCGCCGAAGTCCTTTGCTTCTTGGCCGACCCAAGGACGTGGTGCATACACTGAGCCCCGCCGACCAGCATCGAACGATGTCCAAAACCGATAGCGGACGCTGTGGGGCAGGCAACTCTCGTCTCGAGTGACAACGTCCGCGGCGGCACCGACAGCGAATGCAGTTCAAAGTGGGCAGGCAATGCTGTTGGTCTTCGCCCCAATTCCGATCTTGCGGACTGGAGGGGCAACAAACAATCGCGCTGGAAACTGTTCCGCGACTTCTGCTGCCGAGGGGGGCCGTCCTGGGCCCCATGGCCTCCAAGAATCGGGGTGGTCCCCCGGCGGGTCCGGCGACTTTGAGCGGGCTGCAAGGGAAAGAAATCAGCACGTCACAGCATTCAGCGCAACGGATCTTGAATTTGTCTCGTACATTCTGCTGCCACCCCTGAGACTCTTTCCGCGACTTCCCCCGGGCTGGTGGCCCTGCGCACCTGTCGCATTTGCTTGTCCGCGCGAACACTCTGACCCTTTCGGACTCGGCCCCCGCCACTCTGGAGACCATCTCGGCCCATTGGTCACAAGTCGTGCACCACTTTTCCCCTGCCCCCCTCAACATCTCCGTGCACTCGCAGCAGAAGTTCGGGCCCGACTTCGCGCCGAACTCATTCGTGCTGAATTCAGCCTTTTCCTTCACCTTCTGACATTTCCCGCATGCTTTCCGCGGCATCAACCTCTCCTCGATGTCGGGCCACGGCAACGCTTCCCCCCGCAACTTCTGCAACAGCAACCTCGCGCCTTCCACTTCTCCTGAAGTGTACGGCTGTCTCGAAAATGGCCGATATATGAGCAGACTCTGCCGAGTCTTCACGCGCGCTGGGGCCACGTAGCTCGACATCCAGCTCACGTTTCTGCCTTCCTCCAAGTCCGCTATTACCGCGCCCAGTGTTCGCCCTCGCGCTGCGCGCGCCGTGCACGCCAACCCAGGCGAAATTATAAACTGTCTCCGTCGCACCCCCAACGCGGGCTTCTTTCGATACGAATCCAGATGCCACGCCCGAGCACGAGGGACTATGGGATACAGCCCTGGCCCCGGCATGCTTTCGAGCGTCCACTTGTCGGTGTGAAAGTCCAGCACGATTTGTCTCGGCATCCTACGCAGGACTCTAGACGACATGTCCTGCACGTCTTCTTCTTCTTCATCTACCACCCATGAGTGTATCGTCGCTCGACACCCTCGTAGCAATTGCTTCTCTGATCGGTCCAAATGGTCCGTCAGTACACCTGGCATGCCCACGGCAAGCGGTAACCATCCTGGCATGTCTGCACAAGCCTTGTCGTGGTACCCGAGCCACCGCACTTTGTCTGCTGAGGTGTATGGTCTTCCCTGATACGTCGCGTGCGTTGCCTCATCCCGCGCGTAAACCCACGAAATCTGTTTCTTCTCGCACGCAGCCCAGTCTACGGCCCGCTGCCGCGCTACCTTGAACTTCACATGCTGATTGGGATAAATAGCAGTGGCTTCGACGAACTGCGAAAGTGCGAACCGTTCGTCTGCGGCACTAGTGGCTACGAGACATCGACGCTTTCTTTCCTCTGCACAGCGTCCACACTCCAGCTCGTTGTCTTTTGCGATAGCTTCCACGTTCTGCATACAGACCTGCGAACCACACATTGGCTTCTCATTCAACCAAGACCCTGGAACGTCTGTAGGCTTCCCATGCAGAAACTGGTGCGTCCTCTCAGTCAGAGCTCCCCGTCGGAACTCATCTTGTACTCCCAGGAACCACTCGTCCTTCTCTTCCAAGCGCTTGCACTCTACCAATTCCGTCATCCCCGCCACGGACCCTGGCCCGTCGCCCCAAAAGATGAATTGACCATGATCTTCCTCGGCGCCTGGCGCATACTGCCTCGCCTTCCGTACCCACGACGTCGGAATCGCATTCAATGGAGTTCCGCCGGGAGGTTCCAACTGGTAGAAATCTCCGCAGAATAACACATTGAGACCTCCAAACGGACGGTCTACCTTATCGGCACCCACCTTCCCTTGCCTCGCTGCCGACATCACAGACCGCAAATGCGCATCCAGCTCTGCAAGAAAATTTGCACTGACCATACTGATTTCGTCGATGATGAGCCAACGCCACTGTTGAATTCGCTTCGCTGCTTCTACTTTCTTTGCACCCGGCTCTCCGCGCTTCTCACTGGTTTCCGTGCTGGCACCGTACGGAATCATCCCAAACGCGGCGCGCAACGTGTGACCATCCAGACTGGACGCGTTCGTAGCTTGTAACGCAGCCACTTGGAAGTCCAGCCCGTGTTCCCAGCCCATGACTCTCTCGAACACGTGTTTCCGTAAGGTCTCTACCACAAAGCTCTTCCCTGTGCCTGGGCCTCCGTGCAGCATCCACAGCAACGGCTCCGAACTGCCGATTGTCCTCTCATCTTCTTGACACTCAGCGATCATCCTCAGCGGCCATCGGCTCCCACGCGCGAAAACGCGCGGCTGGCTCGAGTGGACGACGCAAGGCCCGAGTGGACGACGGATGAGGAGGAGGAAGAGGAGGAAGAGGACAAGGAGGAAGAGGAAGAAGAGGAGGAGGAGGAGGAGGAGGAGGAGGAGGAGGAGGGGGGGGGAGGAGAGGAGGAGGAGAAGGAGGAGGAGGAGGGGAGGAAAGGGGGAAGGGAGGAGGAGGAGAAGGCGGGGGAGGAGGAGGAGGAGGAGGAGGAGGAGGAGGAGGAGAGGGACGAAGGGCGGGAGGAGGAACAGCAGGAGAAGGACAAGAAGGAGGAGGAGAAGAAGGCGGGGAAGGGAAGGGAAGAAGGACGTGGACGAGGAGGAGGAGGAGGAAGGGCAGGAGAAGGAAGAGGAGGAGAGGCAGAAAGAGGAGCAGGAGGGAGGAGCAGGGGGAGGAGGAGAGGAGGAGAGGGAGCCGATCATCGTCATCAGTGTCGTGATCATCAACGACGTCATTGCCATCGACAAGGTCAGCCCAAACATCCCCGAACATTAACAGTTAGCGGGACATCCCGCTTGGAAACCGCCGACAACCGCAAGATGTCTCCGGGGTGTAACATACTTCCCTGGCTCCTGCACCCGTGCAAGGCCCCAAACACAACCCAAAAAACCTCCCTGTGCCGTCTTGGGGTTCGCTTGGGCCGTCTGGAAGCCCTCTGGGCCAGTTTGCGACCCATGTCGGCTCCCCTTCTCGCTGTGACGGGCCCTGAACAGCCTCATTTTCCCACGGTTTGCAAGGAAGCTGTGGTGAACGATCCCGGGGAAAATCCAAGGGGTCGGCGGATGTGGCGGAAGCCTGAAGAATCAGCACGACACCCGCCGCACACGCAAGCCCTGGCATGCGACGAGGCAGCGCTCCGATTCGCAGCAACAAGAGGCCCCGACGCGGAATAGCTTGCGTTGCGTCACTGGTCCGGTTTGATGGCGCCGGGGCCCGACAACTGGCCCCAGAGGCCGAGATCCAGAAAAGACAAAGAAGAGAAAAAAGCATTAGAAAAAAACAAAAACAAAAAAAAACACGCGGGGACTTGACAAACACGATCCTCGGAGGCATGGGAGCACGCCCGCCCGCCTGCAGCTGCGACCAGACCCGCGTCTCGGGGTCGAAGACGTAGGCGTCGTTGGACGCGCTGGCGCCCGCGGCGTACCCGCCGAATCCGCGAGGGCCCCTGCCGGCTGGCCCGTCCAGGCGTCCAGGGGAGCAGTCGCGGGGCCGGTGCCAGTCGGGGCGGGGCCTGGCCCTTCAGAGGACCGCCTCCACGCCGAGGAGTGGCCTCCTCCTCTGTTTCCTGCTCCTCCTCGTCCTGCTCTCCTGCTCCTGCTCCTGCTCCTGCCCCTGCTCCTGCTCCTGCTGCTCCTCCTCCTCCTCATCCTGCTGCTCCTCATCCTGCTGCTCCTCCTCCTCCTCCTCCTCCTCCTCCTCCTCCTCCTCCTCCTCCTCCATTCCATTTCCGTATAGAAACTCCTCCCTGTCGCACTCCAAGGCCAGACGAAAGGGCGGGGGCGTTTCGCCTGAGACTTCCTCACCATGTACGACCCCCCGATGCTTAAAAATTGGCAACAGTTTCACAGATTTACAAAAGTTTCACACATGTGTTCAGGACTCTCGATCTTGAAATCCCTACGCAAACCCAGGTATTTGAAAGATTCGGGCATGCGCGCGTGCACTTCGTCACAGACTTTGCAATGTATTCCTGCAAACTTGTGATTTGTGATGAACGAATGCGCTCGCAGACAATTATTAAACGAGGATGGTGGGGGGTTCGAACCCGGCTTGGCTGGGATGCGATGTATTCATATTCAACCTGATCAATGAGGCAGAGTCACGTGAAAATTGCACATCCCCAGGGTGTACCAATAACACCGGCCCTGGATGGGTGCAGTACGTGGTGCAATGCATGCGGTGCAATGCATGCGGTGCAGTCTATGTTGCAGTCTATGTGCAGACTTTTTTAGAAGGGCGAACGTACGTGGTGCGATACATGCGGTGCAGTCTATGAATGTTGTGCGACGCAGGGCGGAGCGGCGGCGACGGCGGCGACATGGCGGCCAGAGGGCCAGGCAAGCCCAGACCACGGGCGGCGGCGAGGCGGCGACGAGGCGGCGACGGCGGAGACATGGCGGCGGCGTGGCGACGACGGCGACGGCACAGCAGCCAGACCAACCCCCGGGCCCAGACGGCGGTCGGCGACGAGGCGGCGACGGAGAGGTGACGGCGACTACCTAGTCGCCACACCGACAGCCACGCCCAGTTGTTCATTCAAGAAGTAAGAGCTCCTCAAGTGCAAGGGCTGCCTGGGGAACAATAATGATAAGATCAGGAAGAATAAGAAGAGTGATACTAATAATAATAATAATAGTAATAATAATAATAATGAGAAAGATAAAAGAAAGAAGAAGAAGACGGAGGAGAAGAAGTTGGTTGTCCTCCTCCTACTCCACCTCCCCATGCCAAGGATGATCAAGCGCGTCAAGACGCTGTAGCCCTGGAATCCAGCATGAATGTTCCGACGATTAGGCTGACTGAAGTCGAGGAGCAGCCAGAGAGGCATGATAAAAAAAAATGATCAGCAGAAGCAGCAGCACCACCATCATCAACATCATCGTCACACGTATTACCATCAGCAACAGCATCAACCTCCTCTTCAGCATCAGCATCACCATCATCACCAGCATCAGCATCACCATCATCCGAATAATCCGAATAAACATCGTCATCGTCATCATCAGCATCATCAGCAGCATCATCATCATCACCATCGTCAGCATCATTAGCATGAACATCAGCATCAGCATAATCCTAATCATCATCAGTATCATCATCACCATCATCAGCATCAGCAGCATCATCATTGGCAGTATCAATGTCATGTTCCGCATCATCATCGGAAACATCATCATAGGTAGCATCAGCATCATCATCAGCAACAGCACCGTCATCAGCATCATCGTCACATGCATCACCATCAGAAGCAGCACCCCCTCCTCTCCATCAGAATCATCATCAGCATCATCAGCATCAGCATTGACATTGTCAGCAGCACCACCACCATCAGCATCAGCATCAGCATCAGCATCGGCATCAGCGGCAGTAGCATCAACATCAGCATCAGCATCAGCATCATCATCATCATCATCATCATCATCAGCATCATCATCCGTGCCAGCATCAGTATCATCATCAGCAGCAGTATCATCATCAGTGTCGTCATCATAATCCATATCATCAGCATCATCAGCAGCATCCCCATCGCCAGCATCAGCACTATCGTCATCCACATCATCGCCAGCATCAGCAACATCTTCATGTGCAAGAGCACCCTCCGCATCATCAGCAGCAGCATCATCAGCGTCATCGTCACACGCAGCATACTCAGCAGCAGCGTCTTCCTCCTCATCATCGTCATCAGCAGCATCTTCACCAGCAGCATTATATGCATGGTCGTCAGCATCACAACAATCATCATCATCATCATCATCATCATCATCATCATCATCATCATCATCATCAGCATCAGCATCATCATCATCCTCAGCAGCAGCAGCAGCATCATCATCATCCTGGGCGTTACCATCGCCATCAGCATCATCAGCACCAGCATCAGCAGCAGCAGCATCAGCATCAGTATCATCATCAGCATCATCATCATCCGCCCCACCATCATCAGCAGCGGTAGCATCCTCATCCTCATAATCCACATTATCGTCAGGGACAACGCCCCCACTATCATTATCATCATCAGCAGCATCATCATCACCGTCATCATCGTTAGCAGCAGCAGCAGCAGCAACAACATCACCAGGGTCATCGTCACGCGCAGCATCATAAGCACCAGCAACAGCATCTACCTCCGCATCCTCCTCCTCATCCTCCGCATTATCCTCATCATCAGCATCAGTATCATCCTCATCATCAGCATCATCAGCCTCAGCCTTATCAGCATCGTCATCATTGTTAACAGCATCACCAGCACTCGCATTGTCATCAACAGCACTACCAACATCATCAGCAGCCAAAGCATCACCAGCATCATCATCATCATCATCAGCAGCAGCAGCAGCAGCATCCTCAGCATCATCACCAGTAGCAGCACCATCATCATCATCAGCAGCAGCATCATCAGCACCATCATCGTCGTCGTCGTGGTCGTCGTCAACAGCATCATCGTTCTCATCGTCAGAACCAAAATCGTAACCCACATCACCATCAGCAGCATCAGCATCAGTTCCATCATCATCACCACCATCCACATCATGCTCGGTATCACCATCATAAGCATCGACATCAACATCAGCAGCATCATCATAATTATCATGAACATCATCATCAGCACCAGCAGCATCATCATCATCAGCAGCATCATCATCGTCATCGTCAGCAACAGCAGCATCAAAATCATCATCGGCATCATCAGCATCATCATCATCAGCATCATCATCATCAGCATCATCTTCGTATTCCACAGTAACAGCAGCAGCAGCATCCTCAGCGTCATCATCAGCAGCAGCAGCACCAGCATCAGCAGCATCCTCACACAAAACTTCGTCACAAGCAGAATCAGCAGCAGCAGCATCCACTGTAACAGCATCACCATCATCATCCTCAGCATCACCATCACCATCAGCAGCATCATGATCATCATAATCAGAATCCTCAGCATCAGCGGCAGCATCATCATCATCATCATCATGAACATCATCATCCTCATCAGCATCATCATCCACATCATCATCAGCAGCGGCATCATCATCATCATCATCATCATCATCATCATCAGCAGCAGCAGCGTCATCATCATCAACATCATCAGCATCATAACAATCATCACCAGCATCACCGTCATCTTCACAATATTCGCCTTCATCGTCAACATAATCATCAGCATCAGCGACAACATCGTCATTAGCATCAGCATCACCATCAGCATCGACATCACCAGCATTGTCAGCATTGGCAGTGGCATCCGCATCACCATCATCATCATCTTCATCGCCATCCTTATCAAACTCCTGGTCGAAATCAGCAGGATCATCATCATCATCATCATCATCATCATCACAACAGTCATCATCATCAGCATCATCATCAGCATCAGCAGCAGCATCAGAAGCATCACCATTGCCATCATCATAATCATCATCAGCATCACCATCATCACCAAATCATCATCTTCATCATCATCATCATCATCGAAATCAGCATCGTCAAAATCAAAAGCAGCATCATCATCATCATCAGCATCATCATCATCATCATCATCATCAGCAGCAGCAGCATCATCCTCATCCTCATCCTCATCCTCATCCTCATCCTCATCATCATCATCATCATCATCATCATCATCATCATCATCATCATCATCATCATCATCATCATCATCATCATCATTATCACCGCCATCCGAATCATCATCATCAGCAGCAGCACCATCATCATCAGAGTGAGGGGGCCGAACGGTCAGTCATGTTCCCTGGGTGCGTAGCTGAATAAGGAATTCGTGGTGAGAATTCTGCTTGTTGCGTTGTTGTTGTTGTTGCTGGTGTTGCTGTTGTTTGTTGTCGTCGTCCCACCCGCGACCCACCCCGCGACCCACCCCGCGACCCACCCCGCGACCCACCCCGCGACCCACCCGCGACCCACCCCGCGACCCACCCCGCGACCCACCCCGCGACCAACCCCGCGACCCACTCCGTGACCCACCCACGACCCACCCCGCGACCCATCCGCGACCCATCCGCGACCCACCCGCGACCCACTCCGCGACCCACCCGCGACCCACCCCGCGACCCACTCTCAAGGGAGGAAAAACCACCCGGACTCCACAATTGAGGTTTACTATACGGCCGAGGGCGTTGACTAAACAGCCCTGTCCTGTTCGATTCATTCCTTGTGTGCGTTTACTAAACGGCTTCGCTTGACGGGGTGATTCTTATGGGGTGGATTTTCTGCCCTCTACACCGGCGACCCACCCACCCGCGACCCAACGACAACCAACCCGCGACCAATTTGCGACCCGCCCGCGACCCACCCGCGACCTACCCACATTGGTTTAACGAAAAAATCGGCGCCTGCGGCGGGCACATTGTATAATTCGTGAAACGTTGGCGCCTGCGGCGGGCTTGTCCAGCGTCCCGCAAACGGCCGACGTCCCCACC